TCTTCCCTTTGTATTTACACCTAGTATAGCACCTGTTACAGAAAACACCCAAACCTTGCACAAACAGCCCTGCCAAATCGACTGGTTCAAATGGGATCTCTGGTAAACAAACAAAACCAAATGAAGAACAGAGCTGGATACATTGGATTGAATAAAACCTTTGTTTTCTTACCTTAAATTTCCTGTAAGACTGTTATGGGTTGTTACTGTGGTGCCCCTATGTACCAAAATAATTGCACTGGATCTTTTACAGTCTAGTCTTTGTGGATATATTCTAGTCAAAGAAAACAACAGCTTAATGTAAACTGTTTAACCCTTTCACTCGTGTTTTAGGCCCCGGGCCTAGGAGCAAAAGGGTGACAACTTCTTTAAACTTTGTTGTGCATCATCTTTAGTTATCAAAATTCAAATAAGTTAAGTAAAAAAAGAAAATACTGATTTCCAGGTAATTGATCTAATGTTAAAACAATGCTTAGCAGAAACATTTACAGTAAACAGCTGTAAATGTGCAGCTAGCTGAGAGAGATCACAGAGATAAATTTACAAGTACCCTGTAGTTTCTATTTGCACCTTTTTTTTTTACTTTTTTTTCAAAATACAAGCTTTATATTCTTTTCAAGACAGAAAAATTGAGATGATAGAATTATTAATATCTTAATAATATCTATTTTGTGAAAGCTCCTCAGAAACACATGAACAGTAAACCAGAAATGGCTGGAACAACAGAAAGCATTCGTACCCCGCTGTAATCCAAATCATCTCTGTACAGAAACCCATTAAACATCTCTCTCTAAACCCAATTTATTTTGTCCAATAGTTCAGTCAGTAGTAAGCATGAAATAAAGTGCTACTATTCAAACATCAAAACACTTGGAAAAAACCCCACCCTTTAAAATGCGTAAGCTTGCTAAATATGAAATAACCCAACCAACAGACTGTCAGCCAGCCCACAAAACTACGACATGCTATGACAGACTACGATAGATACATTAGTGGCAATTTGTTTTCCTGGTTGGTTGGGTTTTTTTACTTGTTTTTTTCTTAAAAGTGAGGCTACTAGTCCACATTTTTTAACTGAAAATGTCAGCAATCAATGAGCTAAATGTGCCAAAGCTAAGAGCCAGAGCTCACCTGCAGCTGGAGAAACCTCATGAACTGAAAAGATACACACTCGTGGTAGCAACCAGCACAGAGGTAAAATTGAGTGGCCTTCTTTGCAGACTGCGTAACAACAAAACCCAGTATCAATTTATAACTGCAGTGGGATATCAGAGACTGGACAGAACAGGTACACCGAAACAAACCATTTTCTCCTTGTAATAGCTTCTCAATCACCACTGATTACAATCCCTGCAATTTCACACAAGATCCACATCTAATCAATGAATGTTTTCACCAGATTTTTATATTCGATTCTAGCGCTAAAAGTAACAACGGCAAAGTTTTTCAAGTCTCAAGACAAAAGATGGCTACTGCAATTACCAAATACACCCAGCCAACCTGGGACCTGAGATGAGCTACAAAGACTCTAAGAGACATTAAAGAGGACCATTCCTGTACTTTGTGGAAGTCCAAATGTTAAATTTCAATTTGAACCAAAACCCAATTCCTCCCTTTATCCTCAAGGCTGAGGGCCCTGAAGATTGCCTCCACAGGCACAGATTAACTGCTCTAGTCAGAACTACAGCCCATAGATTGGACAACCGGCTTTTGCTCAGATATTGGTGGACCTGTAGAGGTTTTCGCGCTCACGCTAATTCCCTGAGCCATCAAACATCGCCCACACACCTGCACACACACTGCAGAAGCATAAAAACACCACACAATTCAGCTCCACAGCATCGCCGGAGCTCTAGCTCCTCTATGCCAGACCCTCCCTACTTCCCGCCTTCCTGGGCAGTGCAACTGCAGCAGGTCCACTACGTTTTTGGGTCCTTCCACATGTAGCACACAGCCTTTTTTTGGAAGGTCTCCACAGAAAGTTGGCAGCTTCACTGGTTCCATAACAAGTTTCTCATGTTCCTTAATCTCCCAGCTGGTTTCTCACCCTTTCTCTAATAGATGGTGTGCCAGGCTGTAATCAGGTATTCTAGAAGTGCTACTGCTTTATCTATAGGAGACATAAGCTTTCAACATCTAACAGAGGCATGTGGAATATCATCTAGCATTAAATGTAGTGAGAAAAACAAATCGGGCTTTCTCTTTTTCATAACTGGGAGAAAATATATAAAAATAAAATGCATTAAAGCAGTACTTTACTGCTTAAGACTTGCAAGATATGTGAAATACCAAATGCTTCCAAATACAGGATAAATGAATTCTTTAGCTCTCAGATATTTGGTACATCTAAAGCAGTATTTCTCCAAGTGGACTGGCTGACAATCTGTATGTGGTTTATTAAACACCTGCATCTTATTTCATATTTAGCAAAACCAGAAAATGCCCCCAAAACACTCAAAGTCCCTGCTAAAGCCCCATGTCTTTCTACTAAAAGCCCCCTTCAAATTCACTTTAAACAAGAGATGGTAGTGGTAGTTTTCAATCTGAACCTAAAAGGAAAACAAAAGTCTTACCATTATAAATTGGCACAAAATTGTCATAATATTGCTCTTATTTACAATGAAAACTTTTTTTTTTAAACTGGATTTGTATCACGGAAGTTTTACAAACATACTCTTTCCCACACCCACCCAACTTTTCCTAAACAAATGGTATGAAAATAATTATTCATAAAATCCAACAGTCATAACACCAATCACGTATAGGTCTATAGGTCATTATGTCTGAAAGATACATTCATGTTTTGTACAGCATGAAACATACAAAAAGTTCTTTAAAAAACTCTTAAGGATGATACAGATCTTCATAACCCAAAGTAAAATACTTAGCAGTTTTGGGTTTTATTGGCCATACAAAAATATTTTAAAGGCCATTTATACCACAATAATTAGAAACTTCTGAATGAATGATTTTGGGTGCAGGAGGGCTTCAGTGCTATTCTGTTTCCTAGTCGGTTTTTGGTTATCACTATGCTGGCTTTGGAGAAGCCAAAAAGTCATGGAGGCCAATTCTCTAAGAACAGGTACTTTGTTCCCATTTTTCTCCAGTGCAGCTAGTTAAAACACTACAAATCAGCTTAAGTCAGTGCAGAGGATTTCAAAGAGACCTATTATTCTTGCCTGTATTTGCAATCACAACAGTAATGACAGACAACCAATATATATCCCATAGTTAATTGTGGTATAAATCGGTCTTTTGAACTCAAACTGCTTTGGCAACTTTACATAAGAATATGTAAATACGTGACATACCAACGCTATATAATGTTGCTGTAAACTCCATTTCTGATTTCCCTCAGAAAAAAGGACAATGCTATTTCCATTTACAACTTGACTGTAAAGAAAATTTATTTCAATATAATGAATTATTTCAATTTGTAGACATTAAGTGCTGAGTTTAAAATAACTTTTCAACTAGCCAGCATCTCAGCTAATAATCTTGTTATGTGGAAGTTAAAGCTTATACTTTCCTACAGAAGAATTTCCTCTTGTCACAAATGGCTTGAAATAAAACTGATATTAAAGCTATCTTATTACTCTTTTTCAGTTTATCAGATCCAGAGATTATTGTAAGAGGGATAATACTGATTTAAGCATCAAATCTAGAAATATAAGTAACAGGGCCACAGGCCATTTTGTCTTCTAAAAATATTTAAAACTCTATCTTCCATTTGGCATTGTGGTTCATGTTTATTACTAAGTCATACGTTAGGATTTCACTTTGTCTGAATCCCTTTTCACTTAATAGGTCATAACTGATCTCTTTCAAATGTCCATAAAACATAGTATATTATATAATTCTTATTTAACTAATTCTTAGTTAAAAATTATTTAGTGTAGAACTTTCCATTTTAATTCTATGCTCCATATAGTTTAGCTTACAACAAAATTTACTGGATAAACATTTTCAGGAAACCAATACAATAAATTAAAACTTTTAAATAGAGGGCACAAAGTTATATTGTCACAGGGCAGTCAAAGAAGTGACTCATTTTTTTCATACAGTATATTACACTGGATACCTTGCTTCTTGACTTCGTTTCTCCTATACTGGAAAAATATTAAAAAATTGGGACATTTATGTATCTTTAGAATGAGCTCAGATACTGTATCAGACAGACATTTCTTACAAATCTCCTACCTACTTAAATAAGAAGCAATCCATATCAACTGGAACAACTTTGCACAAGCATAACAAAGGTGACTGAGGTCATTATGGAATTAAAATAAAGTTCTGGGACAGCTTCATAGTGTTCTCCTCCCTTCCTTCACCCAAATAATAAAATAATAAAAAAATAAAAGGCAGACCTGTACGAACATGGCTTGAAATCAACTATGACAACTTACAAAAGTAATTGGTTAGCGGACAGCGGAATTAAATCACATCTGATTGTAAGCTCAACTTAATTATCTGTGCTATTAAAGAGTTATGTCCTAATCGAGTAAGACAGCTATTCTCAACAAAAGGAAAAAACCAAGTATCAGCTTCCAATGACCTACCAGCATTTCATAGTAAGCTGCTAGTAAGTTACTAGTTGGAAGGAATGAAGGAATGTGTCAGATTTTTCACATAATTACAACACAGCAGCATACAATGCTCATTCATTAAGTTGGCAGAGGTGCTTTTGCTACAGAGAGTAGCGCGCAAGGTACTGGAATAAGGAAAGAGGGAATGGTATTTCCATGACCCGTTGTGGTAACACATTCCAAGCACCAAGGGCCGTTTTAAAAATCTGAACCCATTAAGATAAATATGACAGGACAATACCACCCCCACAGGATCACGAGTGCCTTTCACTGGATGTACGCTGTAAGTCTCAAGGCACTTAAGGGGTTAAGACACAATGCATGCACTAGTTCCCATCACGTCATCTTAAGTCACACAAATCAGAATACACCAGTGTATGACACACAAGCTGTGTCAAAGAAATGCTGTTTATTTTTTTTTTTTTTATTGTTATAGTTATTATTTTTTACAAGATGCTGGTAAGTGGGCATTATGCAGCTACTGCTGGGTTAAACACGGACGCCAGCTCTCCTCTAACAACCAGCTGGTCTCTAGGAAGGGTGTAGGACAAAGTGTGCTGCATCAGTAGGCAGTGTGTATCTATCTAGTACTGGCAATATTGCTAATGTTGTAAAAAACAAAACAGTGAGAGTCTGTACATAATAACAAACCTAGCACTGGAAAAAGACCATGGCTTAGTGTATCTTTTTCATTTGTTTTTCATTTTAAGAGACATGGGTGTAAAACAGAGTGAAATAATTCCAAGCCTTGTTTGTAGCAATTCAACCAGAAGCGCAGTATATGGCACTACAATGAAATATCGTAGATTACCCTGAACACAGTTAGTTCTTTCAGTTTATGGTCTGTTCGGAGCAAAGCACGAAAATAAAGTCTTCAAACAGATGAAGGTTAGAAGAGTTTCAGAGACTGATTTTGTTTCAACGTAAAGTGCAACAGTGCTGAAGTTTTCAAAGTCCTTTGTCAATTCTTTGCTGTACTTCACTATTATTTCCCACGAGCAGTATTATGGCACAAAGAATGCTGCCAGTTCATTACAGAGGACAGGATTCCTCCATTGATATCCTAGGTTTTTTTGCTCTTTACGTATGCAGTGATGCTTGCAAAGGTTTAATAAATCCTTCTTCATACACCTTCAAAATAGCTTCACATACAAATCTGTATTGACTCTGAAAAGGAAAGTAGATTCAGTAAGTTGAAAAGAAACATAATTGAACCGTGTCATCTAGAGGCAGAAAAGGCCTCTAAGACTTCCCCACCCCGTTCTCTCGACAGGCCAAGAACTTGGCTTCGAAGTTAGTGTAGGAAACACAAACCAACAGGAACTTTATACTAGAACATCTTGTTTCTCAACAGAAGAATGGAATGACCAGCACCTTGAAACATATACCAGAAGTCATGCTCACAACACCAGCACTGTTATTACAACACCGCCTATTTAGTAATTTTCTGCTTTTCATTTCAGTGCTGAAGTTTCACTGACTCAAGGTTTCCATGAATTTGGATTTAGAAGCTATAGTTTCAAAGCACTTTCTCATACTTCAATTAGTTCTGGCATATTACTGACATATTACCTCCCTCCTCAGAACTTGATAAAAAAGAAAACTGTTTCATATTTTAAAATAAGCCAAAACTCCAGTTTCTTAACATCACATATCTAAGTCTACAAAGTATTCAAGTCTAACACCTGCACAAATAGAGGCCACTAATATTTTGGTTTAAGCAAACAATAGTTAAAAAATGATAGTAATCAAACTAAAATACAATGAAAAGAAAATCAGTTTAAGTCAACACAACTGACACTGAATGCTGCATAATGGTGTATATGCTGGTCAGAAAGCCAGCACGCCTGCCTTTTCAGTGCTGTGGAATATCCCCCTCTATGTGGTAATTAGCCATGTCAGATCTCAAATGGGCACAGTAAGAGATTTATTAATTATTATTTACTCTATTGTTGCATGTAAATTAAAATAGTTAAATTTTGACATATTTGTGCAAAACACTCATTTTGCCTCCAGAGACACTCAACTCCCCTCACATAGCACACAGAGCAGACACCCGCCCATAGGGCCACCTTGTGGGCACTGAGTGAATCTTCCAGGATACACAAAACAAGGAAGCGAGTGCCAAAGGAGAAATTACAATAGCCTACGTTTATGCAATCTAAAAAACCAAATCACCAGTTCAAGTCTTTTATTATCCCTTCTCCCTCTCATGCAGTAAACACTTGCTTTTCACTGAAGCTTGAAAATACTCCCTTCTCTAAGAAAAACGAGACGACCAGAAAATACCACCACACCTCCTATCTTTACGAGTAGAATTCTCTTCCTCTCTACGTATGCTAGAGAGATACGCTATTCCTACTGTATAATCATCACAAAGAGCAAGAACCATTCTCTATTATTTTTCACGTACCATCATCTTCCTCACCCTTCCTGTGCTAGCTGACTAATACAACTTTTTTTTTAGTGGAATATGAATATTGGAGAGCAGCACTGAATGACAATTGATCTAGAAATGGAGGCCCACATATACTTTTGTCAGCTTGAATAGTCTCTGAAGAACACACAAAAGATTTATTTAAATTTGATCAGAGGAACAGCAGCAGGGGCATCAAAATTACTCCAATGAATAACTACAAGTAGTTGTGGGAGAGATTTGATACTGGGCCTAGTGCCTTTTCTCCTTCAAAATACTTTAAACACTATATACTACAACTAAAATTGTACAATTGATTTAAAAAAAATAAATGGAACTGGTTAAAGTCCAGAATAACCAAGAATTTAAGCTTCTCTTTTTTTTAAGACAACGCAACTCAATCTTTTGACTCTTCAAGTATCTTCTAAAAATATAAACAGAAACTGCCCTTAGAAAGGCAAATAAAAAAACAAAAACAACAAAAAAACACACAAAAAATAAAAACAAATAAAAAGCTTCTAAAATTGTTGTACGTCTTTCACAATTCTAAAATACTTTAAATACAATCAAGCAACACTGCAATTATCTCAAAAAAACCCAAAAAGCCCATGAATATTACAGATCCAGGAAAAATTCTAGCATCTTAAGATACATCAGCAATCAAGAAAGCACCAAAAGAATCCTGGAGGCAAGGTACTTCTTTGATATATCTTGCCTCAGATTTAATTACACTGATTTTCAAAAATATTATTTATTTGATTATTTCCCTTTAATTGAGTCATTATAGGGCAGAGTTAGGGCTTGTTTTCATTGTAACTAAGGCAACATAAAATCATTGAATTGAATCACTGAAGGATTTTCTTGCATGTTTTGGAACTTTCTGTGTTTACCTTTCATACCACTTCCATTCTTAACACCTGGAATTAGGCTCTTGCTTTCTCCACTGAGTAATTTTTACACTACTGAAAACTGACTGTTGACATGAATTGCCAGATATTCCTGTAACGGTTGCTGCTTTTGTCAAGTTTTCTTTGTAGAAATTGGAAGAACTTGCTCCTTTCCAATAGCCTTAGCAACTCACTCCTGCCTGGAGCCAAGGCTACAGCTACATTGGGTACAGCCGATCTCTTTGCAACACAGTCAACAGCAAGTGTATTAAAAATCCATCTAATGATACAACTAGATAATAGGAAATCATTCTTCTGCAACATAGAAGAGCAAGTAGGATACTCACAGGTGTTTGGATCATCATGGCTCTTTGATCTCTCATGGTTCTTACAATATCTAACGGATAAACAGGCTGATTGCACTCAATGAGACACATAGCTGTCTCCATAGTGATAAGAACTCCTGTCCGTCCAATCCCAGCACTGAAAAAAAACCAAAATGGAAAATAAAACAAAGTGCCTGGAATAGAGCTCATTCTTAAAGACCTTTCTTCTCAAGGATTCTCACAACTGATCATTATGGTTCCCACACTATTACGACAGGGGTTAGACAGGTTGTGTCTGTGTCACTGGAAGCCTCCATCCTGCCTGAACAGAGCAAAAATCCACCAGTGCAGAACTGTCGGTCCTGTAAAGAGCGATTGTCTTTACTCAGCCATTCACTCCAGCAAAATTTACACACGGTTATTTATTCAGATCATACGGTAAACCATACTAACGGCTAGACGGTAACAAAACAGAGATACCTAGCACACACCGGGCACTTTGTGTCCACTTGACCATTACTGAAATGTTAGGTTGATTTGGTAAAACCATGTTTATGTTCTTGAAGTGATTCATACCTTCACATTTCAGAATAAGGAATAGATCAATTATTAGAAGTCTTTGGAGGATGACAATAATGATCATTTCCCTACTATTAAAAGGTACATGAGAAATTTAACTGTGTAGATTGAAAAGGCATGCACAATAGTGATCCCCTTCAAGACAAGGAAGAACCATAACATATAAATCTGAGTGGCAAAATTGTTGAGAGAGCTTACGTGAATCATGTTTAGCTTAAAAATAAATCCATAGATTTATGTGCATTAGTTTACACATATATGCACTTTTCCACAAGTAGCAATCCTCAAAAACTGAATATTTAACTTTGAATCTGATAATGTTTCAAATTCAAAGTTTTCATATTCAAAAAAATCATGTTGCACTTTTGAAACAGAAAACAAATGTTTCTCCATATTTGAATATAGGACCAAATTCCGATTTTCAAATGTCAGCATTATCTCGACTCATACAACTAGTATTTCAGTCAATAAATTAAAGGGCTTGCTTCTAAAATAGTTAATATTAACATTCCAAACTTTGAAACTTAATTGTTCGGATTTTGAAGCATAACTTCAAATGAAGTCTGACCAAACTATTGCTATAAATCTTTGTCCAGAAGGTGGCATTAAAGCTACTATATATTTCAGTGATGTCATGAGAATTTTACGGCAGGATGTGAATGTGCTAGTTAAATAAAATTATTCAATAGCATTCTTTTCTAGAATTCATACATAGAGAATTCAAAGGAAGAATGCTTTATCGTATCCAAACAGGAACGGCCTGTGTCAAAAATACCGCCAACTTTGGGCTCCCTCAGCCTGACTCACCAGTGCAATTTGGATACACTTCCTAACAGCCACCGAGTTAGGCCAATTAAGTAAATTATGTTGAACTGTCATACTCCCTCCTTTTCTTCCATGAAACATAAGAGTGTTAGAGACGGCACTGAAATGATCAGTGTGGAGCTGAAGTGATATCTCACTGAGATGAATGAAACTGTTCATACTCTCCAAAATTGTTGTTCCAGTGTCTCTGCAGACTTGCACACTTTATATTTTAAAAGTTGTGTCTGGCTGGTATTTTCATAATTTATTTACAACCATTATCAACCAAAAGAATATCAATATTGGAAGCTGAGGTACAGTACTAACACACTGGCATTCTGGTACTCGCTTCCATAGTTAATAAGATTCACCCTAAGCAGCATAAAGCAGAAGAGAGGGCAAAACCAATTAAATTCAATTTCTGATACATCAAATGTTAAAAAGAGAAAACTTTTTTACTCCATCTTCTCCAATAAATGTTTAATTTGCATGTAGATTATATAGCCTTTAAATTTATTTTATTCCCTTACATCACAAAACTATTGAGGCTGGAAAAGACCTCCGAGATCATCAAGTCCGCTTCCCTCTGAAACAGGAACAAACACCTGACTCAGAACACTGACTCTCCAGAGTGTGTCCAGGAATTTAGAGGTAAAATTTTATTCACAGAATTGCTCACTAAAACCTGGTATAGACATGTTCATTTGAAGGCATTTGGCATCATGCATTACTATAGCTTACTAATTAGTTATTTTAAAGGATTAAGATTTTGAAATTTATTATAGAAGTGTAGAATACTATTAAAAACTATTGCACAAGAAAACAAAAAACCCTATATTTCATGTGTACATAAAAATCTGAGTAAGAATTATTTTAATTCATGAAAAAAGTAAACTGTTGATAAAAATGTGTCATCTCAATGCATATATCAAAATATCATGTAGTCTGGGCCTGCAGATTTGAGAGAAGATCTTTTATTTGATCACTGCATATATCACCCACGTTTTCTGCCATAGACTATTTATGCAGCTATTCTGAAGTTCTGTTGAGTAGTCATCATGAGGAAAACATTCCTTGGTATCTTGTGCCATTCCACTGAATGACTGTATAGACTGTTAGCACAAGCATTTAAACTGTAATGAAAACAAAAGTAAAATCTCCAAAATAATAAAATCCCAGCACAGATCAATGCATGCAGATTCTCAAAATTTTGCTTACTGAAACATGACTCCAATTGTTTAGTTTAAATGTCGAATTCTCTTGTCATATGCAAAGCAGATACAACTAAATGTTTATTTTAAAAACAAAGCACAGAAAAGCTATGATGATAAATAAGTTCAGTTTGATGATTTTAAATAAGTTTGATGATTTAATAAAGTTGGGGAAAATGGATACCTGCAATGAACAACAACAGGTTCTTCTCTGCCAGCCCTCTTCTTGCGCACAAGACACACAAAGTCTAGGAAATCGCTGGAATCATCAGGAACCCCATGATCAGGCCATGCTATGTACTGGATTTGGGTTAGCTGGCGGCTTTCCTCTTTCTAATCAAAAACATAAAAGTTTATTCAAGGGTAATTCAGGTCCCAATAAAACAAAAAATAAAAAAATCCATGGTACATTTACAGCAACTTGCATCCATAACAAAAGTGGCTTCAGGCAACTAGCAGCACTTTATTAGTGCCCGTCATTGCTCATCCTGGATTTTTTTTTTCTTAAAAACAAATAAGCAATCCACAGTTGTTTACTTCTTCAACAGGTTAAAAAAACTACATGCCATGTAATAGAAAAGCAGTTCCAGGATACCAACGATCCATCTGGACACTAGATGCACAAGAAGGTGGTCAAATTTTTAGCAAAATCAATTCTACAGCAAGAGTTGCTATCTTACTAGATCAAATGACACAACTGGAGTAGGGAGGGGAGAGGCAGGACTTTCAAACATAAAAGCTTTTATTCAGACTCTGTGTGAATGGCAGCATTGTTTTAGCTTCATCTCTTAATTTTAGCCAGCATACTACATATCAGATGCAGAATGATTTTGTTTCCTACTCCCTCCTGCTCCTTTTTCTAATATCACAAACATAATCTGCCTCTGGTTAGTGGAGGAATAGCTCAGTGCAAAAGCAGCATTTCAGAAAAGAGGAGTTACCAAACTCTAAATAACCTATAGGCATGGAATCACTTACAGAGGGTCCTCTGCTGGTAATAAACGAGCAATTGTCTCAACAGAACACAGGGAAGGAATTTTAACTGCAAATTGACTAAAAGGTAGCGCTGTAAAACTGGCATCTCATTTTATAATCTGAGCAATGAGAAAAGTGAACCAAATTCCAGATACTCGTTTCCAAACATCTCTTGAGATTGAAACACTCACTGGGGAGGCTCTGAAAACTACAGGTGCCCTGACAATCACACACTGCATGTTCAGGGAAGTCCTCGTTTACATGTAGTTGCCAATCTCAACTCATCTTCCTCTCAGCAGGATTTATTTTCCATCTACTCGCACATACTCCCCATGATGGAATTATTAAGGATTGCTTGCCTCTATAAGGACAGATTTTCAGTTGCAATAAATGGAATACCTCCAGTGTTTTGAAACCAGCAAGGAAATAAGTTTCTCAGCTTCTTTAATTATTCTTTTTCTTTAGCCAGGACATGAAAGACAGCAGTAAAGACTTTTAAGACAAATAACACATCTTTTATGTGATTTAAAAAACTTAATATGGTTATGGAAACTAAAACTTTGGTATATTTTCCTAATGAAAGGTTTGTTACCATCCTAAGAGCAGAATTTGTACTAGGTAAGTATGTGGCAAGTAGTTTTCTAAGGGCTTCTAGAAATAAACAACTCTATTTATGTGGATACACCACCAAACTGAAAAGAAAGTCTAATTAATTAAACTGTATCTAGTCTGTGAGGATTCCATAGATTAATAAATATATATATTATAATTTTACCTCCAGATTAGTCAATGTCATTTCTCGAAAGACATAAGCAGGATTTCCTTCTTCTGAATGGCAGGTAATCTGGAAATTCCCGTATGACGAGCTTCCTGATGGCTCTGGCCAGTACTGATGGCATTTAACCTAGGTCAACACATTTTTAAAGATGCCTGTGTTTAAATTCAGAGTATTATCTTCATTCTCTTTAGCTCCTAATACCCCTGTTCATTAAAGACTATTTTGATGATTTTATAATTACTATTAATTTACTTACCAAATAGGCTGTGTTACCTAATTATTCTTTATAAAATAAGGTATCACAGAGATTTCCTGGTTCTCTTTTCAAGAGGACATATGCACCAGCTCTTGAGGTTACTTTAACCGAAAATGTAGGCCTCTAACTTTCATTACAATTTTTTAAAAAAGTAAACCTATAAATATTCCATCTTAAGACCTGAGTGACAAAGACGCCGCTTTATGAACATTTCTGACCTCCAAAATCCTAATCTGATCTTCTCAAATCACATTTATATGGAAAAGAACAAATGGGGAAAAAAGACAGCACACACACACAAAACAAAGATTGCTCAACTAACGTAAGAATTAGGGGGATGAAGATGGTGGCCATCCAAGCCTCCTGATGACGCCATCAAATGTGAATGGAACCCTAAGATTTTCATGTATATTGCTTAAAGGCCTAATTACAGAGGTCATTTCAGCTCAAGTGTACTTTTGTTTTTCCAACCCACCTGGCAATTCTTTAAGAGCAGCCAGATTTGCAGACTTCCTGCTCCACTGAGACACCCCGGCATGCAGTGGGACAGTGATGTCAGAAGCCTCATGAGCAGCTTTAGAGCAGGGAGTCTGCCTATGGGTATAAGACAGGTAAGTCCTTTTATGCCATTATTAGGCAGCTCTCCAAAGAGCTCCACAAATATTACTATTCAAGGCATGGGGGAACCTCAGAGAATTGCTACTGCAAGTCTGTTCTTAGCAGATCTGCAAAGAAAACTCCAGTTAAAGGGCACTTGTACTGAAATTCCCTCTAAGGATGTTTATTTGGGAACAGGTAGCATCATGCCAACACTGAGTCACAAAAAATGGTTTAAAAATGCTGCAACTCCCCTTCAATTATTTTAATTATATTTAGAGGCCTGGCCTCCCAGCAAATACATGATTATTAAAACATCAGAATATTCATACAGCTGAACTACAATCTGAGCTGATCAGAACACCCACAACCTACTACAAGTCCATCTTCAAAAGAAATCCTGAATGTGGAGAAATTTTGCTCAACTGTTACTACAGAGTGTCATTTCTGTCACACACTCCATCAGCCAGTGCTAAACTATAAACCCAGGAACTCTGGAGTCACACTGTGCATATGACCAGAGCTGGCTGTTTTGCCTGTCTCCAAAGGACGAAGCTGCACAATAAACAAAGTTACTAAGAGGTAACTACAGCTTAAAAACAAAACCAAACAAACCACAAAATACGCCCAAGGCCTTTTACAGCATCAAACACAATTACTTTTAGTAATTTATAACTCTAAGTACTTTACTACTAGTACTCTATTTTTACACGTTTTTGTATTGAAGTGACTTGAAGGACAATGATTCTTTCTTATGATTAAACAAATGTTTATAGACACAAAGAATATTTTATGAAAAATTTTAGATTTTAAAGGAATCCTTGATAAGCTTCAAGACAGACATCCAGACATGGGATCTTAACACTACAAAGCTATGTTAGGCTGCCTTAAAAAATTAATCTCTCTTAATATCAAAGAACGAATCTACAAAAACTGAGGAAACTTCTTGGAGTTACTTCATTTGATGGTTAGAGGAAAAAAAAAAATCCTATTTCAGAATTCAACTGTGTTTAAACTATCAGAAGGTTTAAAATGTAAGAGTTATTATTGCAAGAGTACTAGGAATATATTGCCCTTAGGGGAGAAAAAGTCATCAAATCATAGAGTACTTTGGGTTGGAAGGAACCTTTAGAGGTCATCTAGTCCAACTGCCCTGCAGTGAGCAGGGACACCTTTAGCTACATCAGGTTGCTCAGAGCCCTGACCAGCCTGACCTGGAACATTTCCAGGGATGGGGCTTCTGCCACCTCTCAGGGCAACCTGGTCCAGAGTTTCACCACCATCACCGTAAAAAACTTCTTACTTGTATCTAGTGTAAATCTAACCTCTTTTAGTTTAAAACCACTATCCTTGTCGTATTATGTCTCACAATAGTATACTCCTCTCATCCTTTAAAAGCTAATCAACCAACAGATTTTTAGAAGATTAATCAAGTAGTATTTAAGGAAATTTTTTACTTACTCGGCCTCGTTCAACTTGAGTTGTTAGCATTACAACCATAGACGAGCCTTGTTCCCAAGTCATCTGCCAAAAATCAGGACAAGTGTTCGGTAGTGGACCTTGACAAGCAATGTACTGGTTTATTATTGTGGAAGAAGGGATTTCCATCTAAGAGAAGACAAAGTCATTTTATTTCTTACAGGAAATGTAAACTCAGGCATCAGACATTTAGCATTTAGTAACTAATACGTTAAAGAAGCATCAACTATATTAATTATATTAATACTAAGTTATTAAATACAGTGGCACAGATAAAAAGTCTTCAAAATGCTTCACATGTAAAATTATTGCGAAGATCCAAGTACACTTCATGTATTAACTGACAGTTACGTAGTTGCCATAATAAAGATTAATGGTCAAAAAAAGAAATGATGAACCAGCTGGCAAATAATTCAGCTGGTTTCTGACAGTAGCTTTTAAAATACTGATCTTGGAATTTAACTTCATCTCTAGGCTTTGTCCCTGAAAAGAAGGTAGCTGTAATTTTGTTGTTACTGACAATGGGAAGAAAAAAAAAAAGTACAAGTGCTGCCAGATTAAACTTCTTATGTTGAACACTTCTGCCACATTAGTAATCAGAAAAGAAGAATGAATTCCTCCGGTAGAGGGCTAGATTCTCTGAGTGTGGGTTTTGTTGGATTTTTTGCTTGGTTTCATTTATTAAAACACCTGCCACAAAGCATTAGCAAAGAAGTAAACCTCCAGTAAATTTCAAACCATCTGACTACAGGTTTATTAGTCATTCTAGTCTGAACTAGATCTATGAAAATGTTATCAACTTCTCCATCAAAAAACTTCAAAATTACTTCATATCAGAAGCTCTTTTGAAAACTACTACTCACATTTATATAATTTGCATTGATGTAGTCTTCATTACTTTTTAAAATAACCCGTGTAGCATCATCTGAAAAAAAATTTAGAAAGCTGTTACTTATTTACACCAAAGTAAAATACTTTTAGAACACATAACACAAACACACATACTTACAAGGCGAAATGTCTCTGTATCTATTTTTGGAAATGTTTTGAGGTAATCTGGCACAAGACATTGTCATTCCAGGCTTTTTCCTATATAATTGCTAAAAGACAAAACTGATGGTCAGCCATAATAGACGCAAAAGTACTACAGTTACTATATTATTTGCCTAGAGGTACTTTCAGAATATAAACTACTGAGTAGTGGTAGCTTCAACAGACACAAAAATTATTTTCCAAAGAAAGCACTACAAATTTAGTTACGCTGTGGGATCCTGAACATCACCAAGACATCGTCACAATTTGTTTAAAGATAAACTGAACATGTGCTGCCACAAGCCTTGTCCTGCAAACAGTATCAGTGAAATGATCCAGGTTCAATAAAAAGCACTTTAAACATTCCATCTGTTTGGAAGACTGAAAAGTACCACAGAATGATAGAATCATAGAATGGCCTGGTTGGAAAGGACCTTAGAGATCACCTAAACCAACCCCCCTGCCATGGGCAGCGACGCCTCTCAACTAGACCAGGTTACTCAAGGCCACAAATGTATGGTAAGGAGGGATTTTAAATCACTTTGAGAAAATATTTTCTATCTATATATAGAAGTACGTTTTACCGGAGTTCTTAAAGAACAGTATATAAATATATTTTCTATATACACATGTTTCTATATACATAACGTTAGGCCTCAGTATGACGAGACACTCACAGAATTCACATTGCTGTGTTTTACAAACCTCCTGCTTCTTGCTTTAAGCCACTTGATCTCATGCACTGAAGATGAAATAACATCAAGGCACAAGTTAGTGCTAAAGACAGACTAAAGCTCTCAGCAGCTTAGGACCTCACAAGAAGTGCTCTTCTGAAATATGTCATTAAAAAAAAATCAACTCTTCATAAAGGACATTGTTACACTCACCCTTAAGATTAGGGCTTGTAACCCTTAAGATCAAGGTTATATTTTCTATTGGTAGTTTTACCTTCCCTTACTGAGGCTGTCCATAAAATGCCAACAGCTCAGTTGTCATTCAGATGTTACATTAACTGAGATATGGAATAAAGGTCTGAGTACAGACCGTATTTTGGTGCACATTTTTCAGTCATCTCCATTAAAGTACTTTATTAGCATAAGCCCCTGATAACCACAAAAACCTCTAAGTAATCAATAAAGCTACTTATAACAAACAACACTAAAAAAGTTTTAGGATTATTCTATGCCATAAACTTGCACACACAATGCAGAACTGGATTATTATTTTTTTCTTTTTTTTCTTTTGAGAGCGTAAGACAATTAATTTTTTTGAAAGATGCTGACTACTGAAATTTAACTGAAATCTGTTCTGCTAAAAATAATTGCTATCTCAAAAGACTCGGAATTTGTACACAGCTACAGGCGACATGGTACTCACATCAAACTGAGCCAGAACAGTCCCAGTGATAAGCCCCTCTGCCAGCTGAATCATGGATTCCCTCAGAGCGTTATCATCCTGAGGGACACCATCAAGAGGAGATTTCTCAGGGATGTACTGGAAGTCAGGCTCGCTCTCCAGCTTCTCTTCCACAACATCATAGACAGCTGTAACAAAGATATGAACGCTCTGGCTGAGCATGCTGCTTGGCACAGAGAGTTAACTCTAAGTCATTTACGCAGAAACAGCAAAGACAAGCGTTTCTCCAGTAGAAAAATACACATTTGTTAACACATTGATTTTAGGCTTCAGTAATCAGAGCAAGACCACCGGAGAAAATTAATATATGTCATTATAATATCATCAATGCTGTATGCATGCCCTGCCTACAAATAAACTGAAAAATAAAATGCATCTTCTACTATATGTAACAGAGACATGTAAGAGAGACATGCTGTTTGAAAGTCTGTTTTTCAATGACATCCCATGACCATGAAGGAGGAAACTGGCAACTCCTCGCTTCAGCAGCTCAAATGTTTTTATCCAGAATAGGAAGATAATCAACACACAACAGGAAACTGTTGCAGTAAATTTGTAAACAAAGCTGACAATTTTATCTGAAAAAGAACGTAAGCACACAAAAGCTGAAAGAGAACTTACACACAGAATGAGAGCACAAGTGTGGAGTGAAAAAAAGTGAATAAAGGAAAAATTGTTTATGAAGTGGCTGAGGTACTCTCCAATTATTCCAACTGAACATTACTGTTATTCATTTTGCTTTTACCTCTTCAACTATATTATAATTGGGAAGTGCAGCAGAACCAAATCCAGTGACCATCTACTGGCAATGCTCCAACAGTGTATTTCATGAATATATCGCAGAAGCTATTATTTAGACTGTATTTTTAGCACTTTCTTAGCCTCCTCAAGCAGAGATGTTACCAGTCATTCTGGATTGTTTTAAAAACATGTAGAAGGATTTAGCATATATTAATCTCCAAAGTCATCCAAACACTGGGTGTTTGGTGGTGGGTTTTTTTTTCATTTGTGTTTGGGTTTTACTGTCTTTAAGGTAATAACAGCACGCTCAGAAACAACATTCAGTATCTCTGTAGCTTTCTGGACTTTTTAATCAATTTAAATTAGCTCTCTGTTGGAAATATTTGATCTCTGATTTTCCTATTAATTTTCACATTTACTTATGCACAGCTCCTTAGAGTACCGGATTGATCGAGATTTGTATATACATTGTGTTACTGCAACTCCCTTTCAAGAAAAAGAGTTCTTTCTTAGAAAGATATTACGTGTTGCCACCTCAGGACACAAAACTGAGGTTAGAAAATGAAAGCACAGTGTGGAATTATTTATTTGTCTTATTATTATGTACAAAGCACTCACCATTGGGTCGAACTAGGAGCACAAGTTCCCCTGAGTGCCTCTCACAGCTAGCTTTAATAAACATAACAACTTGATCGTGGGTATGTTCTGCTATATCCCTGCCGTTAATCAGTACAACCTGGTCTCCTTCATTCAAACGCGGGACACAGAGATCAGCCTGCAAGGTGAGGAAAAGAAGAGAACACATAAACCAAGCTTTTTCCAATTTCTCACCTTAAAATAGTAACCTTAACTATCTATAGTTGGGGACTTGAATCCTAACAGCCTAGTTGCTATGGTTCCTGCGTTGTATTCAAATGACAAATTGAAGCGTTACACAATATGTAAAACAGTGCCCTTCACAAGACGAAATCTGTTTGGAACTGGGAGGTGACTGTCACTGTAACATGTCTTTGGACAGCTGTTACCCCACTCCTCTGCTTGAAGTAGAAAGCTCCCCTATTTAAATCAGATTTTGTGAGGCAATTCGTTCTTGTCTTTGAAGGGAAGGGAGAAACACGGCAAAGCCCTGTTGGAATCAATTTCACAGGCTTAAACGCTTCAGGTGTGAAGTATCACAGCTGTAATCACAGGGGTAAGGCAAGGACAGAAGACAATGCACAAACCCCAGTAATCCTAGAGAGGAATCAGGTAATAAAAAATCATTATTATAATCCTAGTCTAAACATTGTTGCAGTATGAGAGCACGTGCCATCACCAAATATCTTCTCCTTAGCGAGTGGATGTTTAAAGCCTTCAGCCAATGTTACTCAATACTCCAGAAATAATAATTAACATGAACAAGAACAATGCTCTTTGAAACTATAAAAGTGCTTGCCAAGAGTCAAAACCCCACAGCTGTGTTCACTCTAAAAGGTATGAACAGAGCTGACTCCCGTCAGCTGTACATCAGGTCAGTATTTCTGGCAATCCATTGAATAAATACCGTGCCTAGTTTGAAGACCCTACTGACAGTCACTAAACACCAGTGACAGCAGACAGTCAGACCTGATGAATAATGACCCATTTTAATCTGAATTTTGGCTTTACTCAGTTACATCTGTCACTAAAGTAAGAGAGATTTGCTATTTTAGTTATTTTTCACATACTAAAAGACTCTTTCAAATATATAATTTCTGTGAAACTACATGAATGCCTATATTTTAAAAAGTAATGAAGTAAATGTATTTTTACAATGACACAGCTCAAGAAACAATACATACTGAACATCTGTAACTCCTTGTAATTTTCAGAATTAAACTTTTCAGTAAGAAGAAATATCTTTGACATTTGAAGAATTTTTAAAAATGTTATGTACCCCATCAAATTCTTACTGCTTTGTTATGACAATATTATAACACGAACAAATTTTCACAGGTAGCTATGAAATAATTCATAGCTTTGAATACATACTTCAAGATACACAAGTACTGCTACCACATTTGTTTTCTGGATAACTTACAGGTGTTCCTGGAGCTACCCTGGACACTATCACTGGCATCTTCTGATCGTATCCACCCTTCAAAGATAATTTTAAATTACTAATAAATCACAAATTGCAGAAAATAATATTAATATCCATGAAGGAAATAGATGTACTGTTACCTTTACATTGAAGCCAAACCTTCCATTTTCATCTGGTTTCATTCTGATCATAACAAGATTGTCATGGGGGACACCACCATTGGGCTAGTAAACAAAAATGATATTATATTAATATATATTTTGTTCATAGTTAGACTTTGAGGATATTGCATGCAACAATTTTTGCAGTTTCCTCATAGTTGCTCCTGGACACTTGAGGAAACATCAAGTACTAGCACAAATACCTTGAATTTTGCACAGAAGGGAGAAGTTACACATTTAAAAGTCTTGGACATCAATAAGTTAGAAGTGTGTTGTGTCAAAGCAAGCTCAAAGCAAGCAATAATGTTAGGAAAAACCTAACTGGCTTCAAACAGTTTTAAGAAAAACAGTTTACTAAGTGGAAAATCCTTAAATTCATTTTAATTAAGATCATAGTAAGAATGCAATACGATAAAAAATAAGGTAATTGAAGGTATACATTTGTGTCTGTTAGCAGCGCTATGACAGTAGTAATCAAGGACAAGTTTGGCAACAAAAATCTTCATTCCATATCCCCTTTTCCGTTTCCAGTGTGATGGATTACGAGGTGTGATATGTGCTGATTGAGCTCTGAATTTTAGCTGCTTTCTTTCCAATTACAACACTGGTAAAGTAACTACCACAAAACTGGGGAATAATAGATACTTTTTTAATATGGAAAAAGTCACTTAGTGCCAAGTTAAGTGATTTTTAGTTTGCTCCCATCAATATTTAGTTCACAGACCAAACATTAGCTAGTATTTCTACAAATTCTATGGTGAGGATGTGAAACAGTACTAAAGTAATTTGTTTCCAGGAAGTTTTCAATGTTACCAATTACAGCCAAAGCATCAGATTTGTATTCAGAAAGGAAGAAAACAAAACAGCTTGTTAAACCAAATGTTTCTATATGTAAGGGTTCAACAGGTAAAAGAAGGCTGCTCAACTTTACAATTCCAGGTGTTTTAAGCTCTCAGTTAAAACAAAAAAATCCCCCTGAACACATTAATAGTAATGAAAAGATTAAAAATTTGGGGGTAGAGAGGAAATTAACAGCATTAGATACATTAATGAGAAAGCAGGACGCTAAGGAAGCCTTATCATATGTAAATCCTTTTAACCTACGCTCACTGGCACGGGAGACCAGACCTGAGTTCCTGGGCAGAACAAACAAGCGCTCACCTGCGGCGTTTGGCAACTTCCATGCCATTGCATTCCCCAGACAAAAAGGGAATAACAGTGATTTCGTGCTTGAAGAGGCTATTTTGAGCAGCAGATAATACAGGAAAACCTGAAGAGAGTACTGTGTATCATTATGAACCTGTCTGACTGACCAGACTCCTGTCCACACCTGTTTACAAATACTACCGGACATTCTCAGACTGGACCCTCTGGGATTGCAGATGCAGTAAAAAGCCGTCATTCCTATACCTGTCCGACTACCTTTCTAAATAGACTCTCCACACATACAACAGACGAAGGAAATTCAATACCTAAATGAACTCAGAATAGTGACTCAAGTAAAAATATCTGAGATGGAGCAGCAGGAGAGACTGTAGGGGTGCAGGAACCTGAAACGCGTTCTGGGCAGAAAAGCTGCTTTGGGTGAAAAAAAACAAAAAAACCCCAACCCCCCCCTCCAAAACATTACAAATCCTAAATTTACAATTTCACTAAATTTCAGAGTCATGCTGCGCTCCTTCTTCTCTCACACCCAAAATAAAAAGCCATCAGCAGACCAAAATAGATCTTCAATTACCACAGCGTACTGCCATGAGCGAGGCTGAATAAATGCGTGGCCCATTCCACCACAGCAACCAACCACATTAACAAAGCACAGAGAAAAAAGAATCTCATTCTCATGCAGCTGTGTTGGCTTTGCAGAACCAAAAGGAGTTAAAAAAACAACTGAGAGTTATTTTTGTCCATTTGGTAAAGATAACTGAATACAGAGGAATACTGAATACACAGAAAATCTTGATGAGCAAAGTAGCATTATCTTTCAGAACAGATCAGTACTTTAATATGACTCAGGTAAACACTGTCAAAATATAAAGCTGTTAAAAATTCTGTGTCATTAATTAAAGCAAAATTTTTTTACAACATTCACAAAATGTTCATAAATTTACAAATTTCACTTTTGCATGTTTTACTGAAACCCCAGCTATGAAATTAAATATGGGGTTTATGGGAATCTTAACTCTGTAATAAGGCCTGAGAGAACATCCCAGGCTTAGAGTTCAGAACGTAAATAAAAACAAACCAAAATCATCTCTAAAATATCCGTTTTGGGAGCTTACTCATAATTTTGAATGTCTGAGGTTGGCAGAACAGTTTATACAGTATTTGCTACATCTGGACATTAAACTGTTTTCCCATCCTGCACAATGTTTCTTGAACCACATCAGTATAAAACCAAAAGCCATTTGGAAACTTCTGGAAGGGCAGAAATCACAAAAATGGCCAGTAAGATCTCACCTCAGTTTGACAATAATTGACTACCTTACTCATCTAGCATGTGCTTAAGTGTGGAAAATGAGCCTTTTCTTTGGTTTTTTACATTTGTTGTCACCTGTATTTTGGTAACCAAGTCTTTCTTGGAAATTCTGATAAAAATGTAACCACAGATTCAAGAAGCTTCCCCCGACAGAACTGCTCGAGAAGTTGAGAGGCACTTTTAGTTTGAGTGTTTTGATAAAAGCTGGATTAGACACCAGTGGTAGTGTGCCATGCTGTCTTTAAAACTGACGGTAAATGACTTCTCAAAGTCGAGGTTAGTTAGAAAGTTCTGTGTGTACTGAAAAGCTACTTTTCAAAATGTTTGCCTGTCCATCCTGATGCTGACAACTGACAAAGGACTGGTCTCGCAGGTGGAAAACAAGAGTGGGAGCTACCAAAGAGCCAGTACGAATACTGGAAATGCTGCAATGTAACGCACTAACGCTACAACTCTCCAAAATGCATCAGAACCCAGATAAGGAAAAGGAGGACTATGATTCTGGCAAAAAGCAGAATGGTTAAACTGGATCTGAAAACTTACCGTGGATTTTTCAGGTGATACAGGAACATCAAATGTTTCATTAATATGGTTTTCCAGTTCTTGCTGTGAGTGAGAATGATGAATTTGGTTCCAACTGTTCTTTTTAAATTGTTTGGGTGGTAACGCAGGAGGCTGCCCATCTATAGGAGTCTCTTGAGATCTAAATACCGAAATAGAAGTATGAAATGGAACAATCATGAGATATTGACAGTTCTTCCAGGGCTCCAAGTAAACGAAAAATGCTAGAAGAAACTCAAGAGTTTGAGAGCTGAATATCAGTATGTACTTTTAGAATCTCAGAGATGGAGTGTATTGGAAGTGTATGTTTGGACATGTCACTGCTTTTTTCTTGACAAGCAACTGTACACAGAACCAGTAATTTCATCTTTTACAAGACTCTTTTTTTCTTTAAATGCTTTCAGCACTCTTAATCCACTTTATACTGGAATACTATAAAATCCACTGTATTAATACTCTGCACTCTTACTAAAAAATTATTTTTTAGTAGGTATGTCAGTATGGTTTCAGTGTTTAGAATTTAAATCTTAATAACAAGACACAAGCAGCATAAAGTGCTCCCACACTAGTTTTTGCCTTTTGATCTAAAAACAAGAGTGCAAGTTAAAGACAACTCACCTGTTTCTCTGCATTTCTTAAGTGTCAAATTGTAATTTTGGCATTTAAAAGTGTATGTAAACATTAAGAGAACTTCCCCTTCTGCCAAACATATTCCTCTTTGAAACATGCACAGCTTTGAACCATTTGTAAAAATGGCATCATCACATGCATTTTTTAGTTCTTACAACATCATTACCAAAGATGAAATAGCAGAATGCTCCATTTCTATTTTAGGTCTGCAAGCCTGCTACTCTAGATTAAAAAATATATTCTCTGTGTTTATGTATAATATGAATAATTTCCTTTATCAGTCTTTTTGGAATAAAAGTTTAACTGTATAATTTGTATTACATAAACACATGATTCATCTTCCATTACATGACTTTGCATTTAAGAGTTAAGAAGAACATTTGGAAGGCCCAAAAAGGGCAGTGAATACATAGTACCCATTAACTCAGTTTCTAAACACCAGTGAGGATACCTGCCTTCCTCCCCAGGAACCATATGAAAAGGTATTAGGCAATTTAAAGACTTATGACATGAGCCCACTGACACCAGCGGCAAATTCAAAAGCCCCCAAGAATGAAGTTCCAGGTTACAGCTAAATCTGGGGAGAACGCTACCACCAGAAAGGGGTGCCTCCGCTCCTTTCATCCACTCCCACGGCCCTTTCCTTGAAGCGCTCTGGTTCTCCTCCCTTGGCTACAGCCGCTTACCAAGCAAGCAAAAACCCCTTGGTGGTTTGGAGAAGCCCGGGTAGATCTTGGCTGGTTCAACAAAGTGAACCGGTTCATCACAGGAGGGAAGCAAGCTCCGAGAAGCCAGAAAGAAGACACTGCCCCTTTTGTTATCAGCAAGCTGGAGCGGTAACTCATAGCGCAACATCCCTCTAAGCAGCAGGGGTAACCACGTGAGTTGTCCTACTGTATTTAGCTGGGCTAGACACAGCAAACTGTTAACGGAGTAAGGCTCTTGTTACGACACAGCACAACATTTTGAGTTGCTGCAAGTTAGCAAACCGAAGGCACACATCAGGTTCCACGTTGTGTAATTTGTTTCGGTGTAATGAAAGGCAGATCCTAGATACATGTGTTCAAATAGAAACAGAAAAAATCCAATCACAATTGTCTACAGTGACTTCAAATAAACGATGGATCTCTTTCAAAAAGCACGAAAATCGAATGGAAAATGGAACACTTCACTTTGAAAAACCACATATTTTCCATTTCCGTTATAAAAGTTTTAGTCAATTTTCTTAGAAAACAAAATATTATGTTTTGTCAATGTATGAAAACAGTACATTTGAAAAGATCCTAACAACATTTTTTCTGTGTGCCTTTGCTTGATTGAAACTTTCAGAAAATACTTTTTTTTTTTCATGCAGTGTTGAAAGAAAAAAGCACTAATTATACAGCATATGTCTGAAGAACTTCATGTTCAAAACATACCAGGGAATAAAAATAATACTACTTAACACTTTTCAATGCAAGTGACAGTAAAAAAAGAGCATATCATGCTTCTATTTTTCAGGATAAGCAGCTTTTCTAAATTCATTTTTGTGGAAAGAAAAAAATATGAATGCCAATATTTGCAAAATGAATTTTCAAGGCAGATATAAATTATTTAGATCTTGGCTTATAAAGGTCACCCGAAGCTTTTCAACTGCCTATGAATTCATTCATTCTGGTCTGGCCAGCACAGACTATGCAGCCTTTTAAGTGAAGGGAAACATACTTATGTGTTTTCCTGCAAACAATTACTCCTGAGAGTTTTAAACCGAATCAAAAAAAGGAACAGAAAATATGAAGAGAGACACAAACAAAGTCATTCTGATAAAAGTCAAAGACGGGAAATTACGTTTGATGTCTGTACGTACATGTCAACAAACACAAATAAATTCCTACCCAACATACAAACTTGCAGACAAGATTTGAAAAGTTACTTAAATGAGCATTTTAGGAGCAGCAAGGCGAGTACTGTAATATATTAGCATAATGAATTGTGAGAACTAACAATCGAGCCCTGGGCAAGAACTTCATGGCTTTGTATTTGCCCAGTCAGCTTTGAATTTCCTTCGGAATGCCCAGACAATGGCAGTGAAAGCAGCCTATTCTGCAGGCAAAGCACCGCTCTGTTCCTGCATTCAGCAATTTACATCATAATGAAATAACACACTGGCCCTGGCACTGGAAAGCCTCGGGCACTTTTGTGATATCCGGTCTGACCTTTGACCACATTAAGCAAAAAGTTGCATACACCCTCCCACAGATTTACTAAACTGAACACATATCACGTGTATTCAGAACCGAAGGTTCTAATTACCTTAGGGAACCACAAGCAGAAATATCTCCATTTAGTTTTGAATAACACATACAGATGAAGAGAAAAATACGGAATTAAAGGTTGTATTAGCTAAGCTATAATGCCCTTCCAAACTGCGGTGAAACTCTTAATTTCTTTTGCAATGTTGACTTCAAACTCCAAGAGATCGCTAAACCTACTGTCTGTCAGGTTAGCCTCTCCAACTCTCTTACATAGGTAAATAAATAAAAATTCCCAAGGAATTAGCAGACAACTCAAGTATTTTTATTCAGAAAGGTCAAATTGTATAAGAAATAGCTTTTTGGACTGTCAAACAATGTAATTTTAAATTACATAGCTATTATGAACTTCATGACTACTACTTACTTTCATAAATGTCAAATCCTGAGCAAGTAACATAACTTCAAACTTTCAGAGGAGCCTAATAAATTTCATGTATTTTTTGACAGTCAACTTCCTCATTCTCAAAAGTATTTTGTGCTAGATATCTATACTGAGAGATTAAATTCCACTTTAAAGCTTCCAACAAGGGAAAAAGCAAAAACCCCAAAACTTAGTGATGGAAGAGCAAGAGTTTTTCTGCTTGGACATAAAAGCGCAAAATTATGAGGAAACAGCTACAGTTGTGCAACTAATATACAAAACCACTTCCTCTCTTTTTGAGATGCATTTCTATGGTGACTTACACAAGAAACGAGGTATTAAATAAACAACTCCCAAAGACACTCAGAAACATCTTTTCTGACTTACATGAAGAAAAGAGAGTATTTAAGAATTGTGCTTACTTCATTGCATCACTGTGCCAACCAGTAAGTGTTTCTCATAACAGACTTCAGCTGGAAGTCTTGGAACAGAAGGAACCTGACCCTGTGTGGCCTTTGCACAGTAAACTATAATATGAGAAAAGAGTCACAAGCGTTCCAGTTTTGATAATTCCTTGACATGGGAATAGGTTAAAAAAGCCCACCAAAAAAAAGAGGATTTTATTTTATTAGGCCAAATTACTTGTTTATAACTACGAAAGCTAAATAACTAGCTGATGGTCAAATTATAAATACTGTACCCTGACATAAAAACCATTTTGTGCTATTTTACAAAAGTTTAAAAAATCTTGTATTATATCTTCCCTCTCCAAAGGTATACACGGTTGTTAAAATTTAGGGTACAGTCTAAGTAAGGCTTTAAAATTGTCTTCAAATACCTTCACAAGCTAATTCTTCCCGACACACACTATTTGTTTATAAACATGTAATTATGTACGTGCCATTTCATAGCTCTCAAATGGTTTTGAAATCATGTGCACAATCTCCTTGCTAACAGATACACAAAATTTTGAAGGGAAGTTTAGCATTATATATATAGCATATATAAGCAGGTACAGTAGCAGTATTAATAAGGTATATATTGTGCACCTTATTGTCCCCCCAATTAATCTGTACTCTGGCCACGAGTTATGGAGTATTTCAAATCTCAACATGTTTTTGCTTGTCATCCTTCTGCACTTCATATGCAATAACAGTTTTTATTTTGCCCCTCATGGCATAGTAAACTTATGGTATCAAGAACATTCAGCGTAACAGGAAAAAAAAAAAGCAAGCCTGATAGTGCTATCTTAAAAGAAAATAAAGATATCTCTATAACAATATACAAAACACACTAGAAACATCAGAATGCTGGGGTGCTAATAAAGGTATTTCAGGTAAGTAATTCATAAAGGTCACTTGTATCTCCATGCTTTGACAAAAAGCAGAGTATCAAAACTCATGAGAATTAAACTTTTATTACAAAACAATATACTTCAGTTCTATCTAAGAAATAACTTTCGCTTCCACAGCCCGACACTGAAGGTCACGTTGCAGCAAACTCACATTCTGGGCACTGTACTCCTGCAGCAGGAACATGTCAGATACAGGTCTTGGTATCGTATCATTTAATTTTCAGTAAGACCAGTATTAATATTCCCTAAACAATAGCTACCCTTTTATTATACTTTCTAACTCTTCTTGATCAAATTCAACACTAAATTCATAATGGCAAAGATTTCTGACTCATTTTCAGAAGCCCTGCATCCTGCCACACAGTAACAACCAGAACAACTTACGGCGATGATTCCAGGATGATGCTGTTAGCCTGGGTGGAAGATGGAGATCGGTGATTTACAAACACTTCACTTGGAGAAGTGTGAACTACGTGGTCCACCAAATGTCCAACTGAGGAAGGTCGTAACCGGGTTCCTTCTTGAGTGAAGGCAGAGTTGCGACTAAGAGGGAAAGCATGGCACAGCACCGTGAAAAGAATATTATGATTAATCTACGTTTCTTAAAGCACTACAAAGGAATGCCAAAATAATTGTTTCCTCTCAGTGCAGGCACATATTCATATACATATTTTTAATAAAAAACTGAAGGTTTCAAAAATTGATGCAACAATTATGTCATCAGATCTACATGCCAAGTTTCAGAATTTTCTTTTTAAAGGCGTTCAAAAATTATTTTCATGAACACTAAATGGCTAATATTTGTCTTTAATTATTTTTCCCCCATCTGAAGCAGCCTGAAAGCATTAAGATCCAGTGAATAAGCTACTGACAGTCCAGTCAATGAGAAAAAAAATAAAACCCCACAAAGAAAAAAATCCTGGCTCTGTTCATGGCAGAATTTAACCTGAATTCATTAAGATGAACATTTTATGCCCTGCATCTTCTCCTAAAAGAATTATAAGCTTAGCATCAAGACTCTTTCTGTGACCAAATATTTTTCCATTTGAAAATTAGCATAGTGATAGACATCCTTCTTAAAATGCTTTAAAATACAATTACCTTATGCTATAAGCATAATCATTACACAATTTTTACAGTACACTTTAAATGCTACAGATATTCACAACAACAGCCTTTTGAATAATATGCTACAATGCCAACGAATCTTAAAACCTTCTGGTTTATGCAATACGAAATTGGTTAATATTGATTCTTAAGCAAGTTTCAGTAATATGAGAAAATCAGTTACTTTCCAAAATAAATTAGGAATAATTTTTCACTAACTACAAACACAAAACAAAGTTCTATCATGTGAAAAGAGTGAGCTTCGAGAGGAAATGCAGGAAAATTGAGGGGAATAAACATGAAAGGATTGCTCATGAAGTAATTTTCCCCAGTGTTTTAAGAAGTGGTATTAACCACAATCAATTCTTTCTAAAGTATCACAGATATTGTTATCAGTTTTTTTCTTAGCCAAATGAATAATTCAGTTTTAACTGGGCTTCGTAAAATTCAAGCTCTCAAATGCAGGCTAGCATGCTACATCTTACATTTTTTGTAGGTCAAGCAAGAAGCACCTCTTATCTGGAGCTAAATGTACCAGAGAACCACTGAGCACATAATTCATGAAGTTATTTGTATCCATACTGCACTAATCCTTTTATTACACAAGTAGGTCACTCACATTAGAGATAGACAAGTCACCTCCAGAGAGAGAAGGTCTGATGCTACTCACTGATTTGGAGTCCCAGGTGGAGACCGCGATGGCAGGCTCTGTGTCTCCAACCTGTCATCTGACAGCGAGTTCCTACTCACTACTTCCCAGTCCATCCCACTCATTACTTTCCGTGCCAAGGGTTTGCTGGGGGATCTAGAAGAAGAAAGTAAAATGACTGACCAGAACTTTATGAGGCAAGAAGAAAATTACATAAAATTCACCACAATGAAACTGCAAGTATACTATCACAGGAAACCAAATTACATGGATGAAAAGAAATGTAATAAAGCAAAACTATATTTATATGGGCAGCTCTGTATTTTCTCAGCATATTGTACTTCATTGTCTGAACTTCAGACAAGAACTACAATGAAATTGAGTCATGAAATCCTGATGGTTGGGAGGGAGACAGGGAAGATAGAAAAAGAACCGACTAAAACTTCTCTAGGCATTTCTAACGCCTCAAAGAGAATCTGACTCCAACAGAGTCGTCAGAGGTCTGAATGTAAAAAAACCCAAACAAACAAAAACTCCACAGCAAAAAAGAAACACAAAAGCAAACCTACTCTAACACAACTCTTCAGCCATCTTAGGAAAACAGCAGCCCAAAACCACCTCCCAAAGACTGTGAAGAACTGAAAGTGGGGTAATCATGAACATGTAAACAAGACCCAGGAGGTCTGTTTCCATGCTTTCTTCCAGAATAAGTTTTGTCACCTGTAAGGCAGATTCAATCATTCTAATTAAACTTCTTTGTGGGTAACCACACTTTATCTGGTTTTGTGCTGGAAATGCCCTTCAGGTTAAAGGGCATTGTCACCAGTAGTTTTATGCAGAGGGAATTGTATATTCTTCTTGTCGCCCTTTCCTGATATTGAGGAAACTTTTTCTTCCCATTCTCCAGTCGTGCCAAGATACCTACAGTCCCCTTCTCCTGTTTCTTTCATCTATTTCTTAAGCACAGATGAGACCGTACTTGCAATCTCCCATGAAATAGTGTATTTCCCTTTTATACTGGAGATCATCAAATGAATCACCCAAGAAACGTGGTTGCTTTTTTCTTAGCATCACACAGGATGGTTCAGTCATCCTGCAACTAAATGTACCCAGACTCCTGCTGTTCGTTGTTTTCAGCTGAAAAACCTTTACCCAACAACAACAAAAACTTTTAGATAATTTTTAAAATATCTCCTGTGTATTTTGTGTTTTTAGTTTGCTTCTAACCTGACGATGCTACATAGCTCAAATTTCTCCTCTATTGTCACCCAGCCCTCTTTCTTCCAATGATACCTCAATTTCATCAGTATTTTGTGCCACAATCACTTAACTCCCATTTGCCTTGATATTCTGTAACTGTTCTCTAGTCTCCAGCTTTGCACAATGAGGTAACAACATATTATTTTACCAGTGTATCTTCTTCATTTCTTTCCCCAGCTCCACATACCAATATCACAAAATAATTTCTGTCTTTGCTGTCCTTGGGACACATGGGAACTGTTCTTTATCTTCTCATCATTGTCACCTTACTGATTTACTGAAAGTGCAAGTCCAGCAAGAAGGAACTTTGAGAAATTAGGGAACTACTCACACACAGATTACATCCTTCTGAAAACGAGAACCGTAGTGACAAATACATTTTTGCTCCTTGCTTAACTTAAAACTCAATGCAAGCCACCACCTCAAGCGGACTATCCTCAATATTAAAAAAGTCTACAACAATAATCTATCAAGCATATCACACAATCTATCCTCACATGCAGAAAAACTCAAGTGTATCAATAACAATAGCGTGTGTTTGATATTAAAGTAATGGTGATGAGCTGATTTTTGGTTTTATGCCCTCAAGCAGTTCTGAACACATCGCATACTGCATTGCTGCTCTAAAGACTTACTGAATAACAGGTGGCAAATTCCAGACTGTTCTGTGAGACGGACTATTCTAAACACTACTGTTTCAGGTACCCACTTTGGGGGGGAAAAAAATAATCTAACATTATATTGATATTTGAAAACAGGGAAAATATCAATTATTTAAGTCCTGAAGAAAACTACATCCAGTTTCTCAGCATATATTCTAAGCAATATTAATTTGATTCAAAAGCAATTAGCTTGACATCATGTCAATTAAAGCAACATTTCAATTTCTGTAATTTGAGTTGACTATGAGCAACACAAACCACCTAAGATACTTTCCTCCACAAACACAGCAAATTTAAGCAGCTCTGAACAGGTAAAATAACAAGAAACCAACAACACTGAAATGAATGCTAATGTTATCCATTCATTATTCCTTTACTAACCAAAGCTATCGTTAGACATGCCTGTAGCCAGCAGATGAGCACCAGGAGCCCGCTCTGCCAAGAGGTGGATTCCACTAACCAAAAAAAGTGGGCTGAGGGAAAAATGCAGAGGAACATAATGTATCCAATGTTAAATTAGGTAAACACAGGACTGCAAATCACTATTTTCTGGCAGACAGGTATAAAGACAGCTATGGAACATTATTTACCTTCAGTGAAAAAGCAACAGGTAGACTGTAGGAAAGCTGGTGGTTTTTAAATGTGCAACAACAGTAGGTACCACCCTTGTCTGTATAAAGCTAGTTGAATTAGAGACATACAGAAGTATACAGGGAGAGCAAAACCCAAGTTTTTCCAAAAATTAAATTCCTGATTGCTTCAGAAAAAAGCCACTCCACTACCTCAAGCCATACTTTGTAACTACATTTCTGAAAACTTCCTCAATCTGTGCAACAAATGAACATAACGCTAAAATGAGAAGCATCCCTTTCTTCACGACGAAAAATATCCAATGTTAAGAAAACTCACCTTTTACTGTGTATAGGGTCTGATCTTTCATAAATAATATCTTACTATCCTGATAATCAGCTGCAGCGTTTATCAGCAAAGGTTCGTTTCAATTATTTTATTAACAGCTCTAACCTCAAGAGTCCCACCCACTCCTGTTTGTTGCCTCCACTTCCTGTCTTTGCCTAAATTTCAAAGAAAAAATTACCACACTGCAGCATCGAACTTCTCAGTGCTGTGGCTTTTTGATACTAGCTCTCCTGTCAACAATTCTAAATCTCACAAGGTATTTTTTTATTAACTTTTAAGATATATTGTGAAATATTCCTGCAAATTTCTCCTGTACCACTAATTCCTTACAATATTCAAATAACTTTCACGTGCCAGAGTGCAGCTGAGAAGAGAGTGCGGGAATAAGCTGTAAAAAACTTTTGAAATGCTTTGATAAACTTTGAAATTATAAATTCTGCACTCCTCTGCCCAGTCTGGATGCTTCTACTGTACACCAGCACAGGGCACTGCTAGTTAACAAGTTTCAGATTTAATTTTTGGTATATCTGTAGAGACATTCCTAAAAACATTGGAAGAAGTCCTACTCAACTGACTATGGATAGAGACCAAAAACTTTACCTGTTCCCAAACCCAATAAGTTTTACAAGCTGCGAACAGTAGCAGGGATGGCATTACATAATGCAACTAGAACAAGGCATGACAAATTATATTAATTGGCTACAGTACACGAATGTTTTCAAAGACAGTTAGGTTTTTTTGCTTGTCCCACAGCTAAACTCTCACAGGAGCTGAGAAAGAAAGAGGGTATTGTTTGGGAATACAGGTGGGAATCTTCTAAATTATTTCTGTCCTAAAAAGCAAAATAACCTGGAGACAGAGCCTTGCTTTGCATTTTGCCGAGGAGCATAGGGAATGCGTTTCTCAGCAGAACTGACAACCACCGCTTCAGACCAAGAAACTGAAACTCTATGCAAACCTGCAGGCACAGCACAAGTAACAAATGCATTTTAAAGTAACTGAGGAATAATTTAATTAACCTGAATAAATGCACACTCAAAGCATGAGTGGACTTTTGGAAACAGAGATTGCATCCTAATGTTAGGGAGTCTGCAAATACATTGTGATGCCTGACTGAGATACCTGCTCACCACCACACAATGCGCAGAAACACCAGCAAAACCGAACAGAATTGGAACATTTTGCAAGGACTCTAAGAGAGAACAGCGCTGTTTAAGAAATCTCTCAGTTCATGACGTGGTAATAAACGTGAAAAAAGTTTAATCTACTTTCACTTCTACAATGCTCCTGAAAATTCTTACAGGTTTCCTTGGGCTGTGAATATCCTGCAAAAACTGAAGCCAAGAGAACAGCTGGAATGAAGGTAATTAAAAAAAAATAAAATACAATCCAAACAACTGCAGCAGCAGCAGTCTTCTAAATGCTGAAGTTAATGCTGCATGAAGATTAAGAAAACAGTAAAAATTTATTACAGAGTATCTCCTTCACAGTAATAGATTTCATTTAAAAACATATTTTTAAATGCTTTTATGATTTGGGAAAAAATAATCCATGAACACAACTTCAGTTAATCTTAAAGTAAAATCCGAGAAACAAACAGATAAGTCTGTTAACTGTAGGCTGTTTTATTCAAATAGCTATTAAGAACTTTGATTTCCATGTTTTGTGCTCTCTGTGTTCTACTTAGACTGAAAAGGCTAGATGACCATTACTTGTGGCAATCACAATCTCCCAATTGAAAACAAAGAAATCACTACTCATGGGATTTTCCTACAATGATAAGATTCAAAAGTTTGCTTGGACAGTATTAGCTCAAATAAGGCAGTTTCTAGACACTGATGAGAAAACAGAGCATAAATTTGGGTAGCTCTAGAAAAAAAAAAAACAACCTTGTTTTTTTAACATGATCCTTAATAAATTTTCTGACGTGCTAGTAATAAAAGCAAGAGTAATTGTTTATTTTTTTTTAACGCATTCACTTAATTCTCAAGAAAGACATGACTGCCCTGTTACCACGCTCCTGGTTTCAGAGCAAAAGGCAACAAATACCCAGCAGAACTTTCAAATGCACCCAAACCAAGCCCGTTGCTTTACAGCTTAAAAAAGCTGTTCAACACCTCAACGGCTTTGTCCAAGAAACATACAGAGAGAGGCAGTTTCCCAGACCAAAAACCACACATTAGCTTAAAAAGCTAAATTTATCCTCTGTATGATACAAAACGGCTCACATGGACTCAGTATTTCAACTTGATATGTAAATGTTTAGAAGTCAAGGAATTAAAGATAATGTTCTTAGATTAAGCTTCTTGAACTGCATGGTGTTCTAGAAATGTCTTATATTCAAAGTTTTTTCACCCCAGAAAGTTCTGCAAAATTAAAAATGTATTAATTGCACACTCTGACTGGGAGGACAGAGGAGGAAACAGATGATCCAGCAGAAACCCAATTATTTTATTACCTAAAAGAAGCCAAAAAGACGTGAGAAAACATCAGAACAATTCTAGCCATTGATTTCAATTCTACCCAGAGTATATATTACAAAATACAAGTGACCCCAGTATGACTTGTTTGATTTTGACTCCAAGGCAAGAGTGCCATCTACTGCATAAGAGTTTCTAAAATAATAAATACACTCCTCAAAACGAAGCATCAGCTCTTGTCCACCTTACTTATTTGTGGGGAATTGTGAAGTCCAGAGTGGAACAAGAAAAATATTAACTGATTCATAACTTTCCTTTAAATAAATAAAACTCAGTTTTCACAGTGTTGAGTCTTTTGAGTACAAGAAAATTTGATCCAAGTAATGATCTAACCAGACTCCCAAAGCAAAAAATAGAGAAAAATTCTACACCACACAGAACATACTGGTTGTGCAGAAATCTACCTGTTCAACAAACATGTCAAACTACTTCTGCTCTCAAATCCTTCTGATATGGAACTAGGTATCTACGGTGAGTCCAGCTAAAGTCTCAGAGAATTCAACAGTGCTCTGAAAAACTCTTTGCAGGTACTTGAGAAGGGTTTCTGGGTTTGTTAATAAAAGTGTAAGTTTGAATTCCAGTGTTCCCCTAAGGTAACAAAAGGAAGTAAGATTCTATGATGAGTCAATTATTCTGTGATGGAATACCTGCAAGAATATCTGAAATCAAATTGTACACAGCAAAATACCTCATTGGGACTACAGCAATAAAACTGTGCTTACCAAGGGGGCACTCACAGTACCTTAGTCTATGTGTGTACAGTTCAAAGATGTTATCAGGGATCAAACATATCCAATAACTCAGTATTTTAATGGTATAGTTAAACAGACAATTCTTTGTAATAAAGGTAACACAAGAAGGCTAGTACATGTAACAAAAAACTGCACAGATACAAGACAATTCTGAATTTTGAAAATATATAAAGGTGGAAATATTTGTCATAAGATTCTCCCCCATTTTTAGCCACCCCAGAGACACCCTCCCATATTAAAGGGGAACTCCTTATTATGATTCGGGCAAGTCACAAGCAACAGTCAACAAGAGCTGCTCTTTATTCTACATCTTTGCAAACAGAAAACAATTATCCCATAACATCTTAAAAGATACAAACAGAAGTTTACTGATCCTGTACGAATGTAAATTGCTTACCTTGCAAATACCCTGTCTTTGTTTGCTCTTTCTTTACCATACTGCACAGACTGGACCTCTGTTCTCCCACTGGAAAAGAAAACAAAAACACTAAATGCAACAAGTTTAGGGTAACGATTTCTTGCTTAAAATAGAACCATCCCAACAGAAAAGCCCTAAGTTCTATTTTCAGTCGTGTTCAAGCAATTGGTCTAGCTTCAGTACAGTGTAACTTTAGATGGCATTTGGGCAAGTGCAGGTTTTCTTTCCCATTAGAGTATAATTTTTAGAAAGATACATTAATTTCAAGTATAACATCAAGCTTTTTTCTTCTCTTCCCTCTTCTTAACCAAAGTAATAATAAAAGTTCTGCTTGGATCTCTGAATAATACTTAACACTATAATCTTTCCTGTCATAGCCACAATCAGAAGTTACACATTACCCCCAGACTCCTATTAAACTACTCCCTGAATTGCCAATAACTAAGTCACTACTTAGTTAAGTGGTGCCCAGTAACAGGACAAGAAATAATTCATGGAATCACAGAATGGCCTAGGCTGGAAGGGACCTTAGAGATCATCTAGTCCAACCTCCCTGTCATGGGCAGGGACGTCTCTCAACTAGATCAGGCTACTCAAGGCTCCGTCCAACTTGGCCTTGAACACCTCCAGGGAGGGGGCAGCCACAACATCTCTGGGCAATTTATTCCAAAGTCTTGCCACACTTATACTTAAGAATTTCTTTCTAAGGTCCAATCTAAATCTATTCTCCTTCAACTTAAACCCATTTCCCCTTGTCCTATCAGTGGACACTCTTGTAAAAAGTCCCTCCCCAGTCTTCCTGTAGGTTCCCTTTAGGTAACTGATGTAAGCTAGAACATAGAAGTTTCATCTCAACATGAGGAGAAACTTTTTTACTGTGAGGGTGACAGAGCCCTGGCACAGGCTGCCCAGAGAGATTGTGGAGTCTCCTTCTCTGGACTTTCAAAATCCGCCTGGATGCATTCCTGTGTGATCAACTCTAGGTGATCCTCCTCTGGCAGGGAGGTTGGACTAGATGATCTCTAGAGGTCCCTTCCAACCTCTAACATTCTATGATTCTATAAGCAAAATACCAATGGGGAAATTAGATGATAAGAACATCAGGATTGTATTCCTCTATACAACTCGTAAAAATCAAGATTAGAACTTGATGACTTCTCATGTGAGACTAAGATGACTTGTGTGAAAACAAAGATTCTTTATGAGATTTCATGATTTGTTTAAAAAAATACATGAATTTTTTGAGTGTCCATCAGCAGATAAGAACTGGTGGCAAGCTCCCAGAAAAAAATCCCTCTTGCAGACACTTCCCCATTTCTAAAGTTGAAAAAAAGAACCATAGAACGGCCTTAGCTAGAAGGGACCTTAGAGATCATTTTAATCCAGCCTCCCTGACGCCAGGGACGCTGCCTGTCGACTAGATCAGGCAACACATGGGGATCGAACGGGAATCGAATCCGCAACCTTAGCATTGCTAGTGCTATGATCAACTGACTGAGCTAACCGGCCCCCTAAGGTCAGATCAAGGCACAGAGTCAGAGGACACAAGTCTTAAAAGGATACTGATACTTAAAACTCTCCTTTTTTCTGCTCCTTACAGGGACATTTACACTACGAAACCAAAGAATAATTAGCTCTTTTCACATTCATATTACAGAATTACTGCCTGTGGGAAAACTGGAGAAATGGGCCAACTGAAATCTCACAAAATCACACACACAGAATGTTAGGGGTTGGCAGGGACCTCTGGAGATCATCCAGTCCAACCTCACTGCTAGAGCAGGATCACCTAGAGTAGGTCAGGCAGGAACATGTCTAGGCAGGTTTTGAACGTCCCTCAGCACATCATCTGCCCATCTCTTAAACACCTCCAGAGA